TATTTACTGTAATTATATTATTTCATAAAATATTAAAAATTAAATACCTATGGGGCTTATGCCTCGTTGATGCATATGTAAAACGCCTCGCCTTACGCCCACGCCTTTTAAAATACTGGTCAATACTTAAAAATTCATATCACAAATACAGAAGCAAAGTGATCCCATTACCATCTACAGAAGCTTAACAAATAACAGAAGCATAATACATTAAGACACAATATAAAATACAAAAAAGTGTAAACAGATGTCAATAATACATATCATTGTGCTAACAACTTATTATGTAGTCTAGCTGTCTAACGATACCTGTCGCAAACACCTCTACAAAATCACTTTCGTTATTGAACTAGGTGTTACATATTTTGTCACAGTTTTTCACTTAAACACATATTCGAGTAAAGAAAATCACAAGGAACATAAAAGCAAAATAGAAAACATATAATTTGATTCACAAAAAATGTCGAGAAACTTGGAACTGCAAATCCTAATTTTGATGATGAGAAGAAAAGACTAGCTGAATTATTAAAATAAGCAGGCAAATCTCGCAACAAAAATGTGAAGTCACTGGAGAATCTTTCGATCCCAATTCCAAAAGAACAAAGGACTGTCAAGAAAGTGGTCTGCCCTTGGGTTTAGGAATTGATTGTTAATTGGGATGAAGTTGGACGAATAACTTACTGCATATAAGAGAGAAGTAACGAGAGGAGTTCCGAAGAGAAACGAGGGTTTTGAAATTTTGATAAAGTGTCTGGGAAAGAAAAGAGATAGAGAAAGGGTAAAATCATCTTTTCGTATTAATTTTAATAGAGTAGTGACTATTGGATAAAAACTAAATAATACGTTAAAAAGTGGCTACAACACGCCATTTCTACTCCAATAGCAGGCCCAATAAAATAAAGCCCGTTAAAAAAGGTCAACACCTCAGTCCAGCCTAAAAACTCACAAAATTTCCCTCCCATTTGCCGTTTGGTGAGGAAAATCAAGAATACTAATACTTGAGGGGATTTGGATGTTAGCAGCTCTCTTTGTAAGTAGAAGTAGAGTTGAAAAAATGGGTAAGCAGCAGAAGAGAGACAGAAGCAATCTCATTGCTTTGACGGGAGCCGCTGCTCTTCTCGCTATTGCTGTCAACTTTGCTATCTCCGCCATCAACAACAAACATCGCAAGAAAAAAGGTTCCCTTTGCTTACACATCAATTTTTTTGTTTATTCCTATAACAAATGAAACCTTTTTTTGTTGAATTGCAGAGATTCCAGGTTCAAATGTTCGAGTCAATCTAACTGCTTCTCAAATTCTGAAATTAGCCGAAAGCATAATTAAGAAATCGAAGCAAGTTCATGATGCTGTTGCATCAGTTCCACTTGACAAGGTATTTATTGTGTTTAATTATGTCTAGTTAGAGTGTGGATTGTCCATTTAATTCTAATATATATTTTGGCCATATTATCTTTCTTGCCTAGCTGTACTAAGGCGACTATCCTTTTGCCCTGAAATTGAAAAGTCCCCTTTTGCACTAAACAAACTTATCGGGCACAAAATGTGTGGACTCCGTATTGTAATGATTCTCAAGTTTGAGGTCCTCATGCGGATGGTTGAACTATAAGATTAATAACCTGAAGATCCACTCGAATCTTTGCTGCAACACTTAGTATGAGTCCTTCTACTCCAACTTCGATGGGTAGGTTTACCCAGCATGTGTTTGTGGGTTGTAGCAAACGGTGCAGTGCATTACTCGAGGAGCATGTAAGCTTGTCAGTAACCAATGTCATGCAAAATGGTTCTCAACTTTGAGGAGTAGGTTGAATTTCTAGTCCGGTTCTGGGACTTGTTGAATTGATGTTCAAAATTCTAGGAGGGCATGCAGGAGGACGTCATTCGCTAGAAATATTTAGGGGAAATACAGCATCCAAAGTTATGTGACAATAGCTCCTCTTTTCCCCTTGTTTCTATGACTGTAACTGAATTCTATGCCACAGCTTGTAGCTGCATTTGTATTCTTTAAATCTTGTAGGCAACTCATTTCTTGTGTCTATATTTTACAAGAGGCTTTCTATGTTGTGACTGTTGCTTCAAGGGGAATCATCAATTGTCTAGGCTTCTACCATCTCGGTTGCTAGAGACCTATTCACTAACTCTCTGGCCACTCTATTTGTTGTGTAATCAACGAGCTTAAGTGTAATCCATGAACTTATAAAACATTCTCTATAGGGAACTCAAGAGGCTTCTGTTTTTTGACCGCTGCTTTGAGGAGAATCTCTAGGATGGCGAAGAACTATCCACTCTTTGACAATACCATTTGTTGTGAAATCCATGAACTTATCAAACATTTATTGAATGAAACTCTCATATTCAGGGAAATGTATATAACTGATACAAAAATGCAGTATACAATCCACGGATTGCTGTAGCTCAGTCATGTTAGTGCAACAACAAAACTGCAACTTAGGCAAACGGCAATCACTTGCTAGAATTGATGGAATTTTAGTTGATTATAGTTATGTGGCCAGTTGCTGAAAGCCTTAGCCAGACCATCATTTCTTATACATTGATAGAGGATTAAGTGGCAAATCTTTACTATGCCCAAGTGCCGAAGTACTTAAGTATGGTACCCTATGTTTCATTCTGCTAAAAAATTTCTTAATAGTTGTTGAGTTCAAGTTCATCATGTGAAGAGAGAAGTGTCTCAATTAGCTGACTATTAGGCTAACTTCGGTGTTAAGTTGCAGTCTAGCAGACGAAAACTAGTATTTAACTCTCTGATTATTTTCTTGGAGTCAATCAGGGGTTTGTGTTTGTTGGGAACTTATCAAATATTACTATTTTAGAACTTTCTTCTGCATTAAGTCTTGTGCTTTAATCTGATATGCCGTTCTCAAGATATTGCTGATATTTCTATTTCTAAATTTGTAGGTTGCCTATGTAAATGTGATATTGCCATTAGCAGAGTTAGAGGCACAGCAGTTCCCGTTGATACAGTCATGTGTCTTTCCTAAATGGTTATCAGCTTTTGAGGATGTACGCAAAGCTAGTGCTGTAGCAGATAGAAAAATAGATGCTCACATTTCAATGTGCAGGTTCTTCCATTACAAAGTTTCAACCCTTCTATTTCATTTTGCAAATTTTTAATTGCAAATTCCTCTTCTGCTTCTTGGTATCTCGAAGTAGGAAAGAAGATCTTGGTTCCGAGTTTGATCTGCTGGAATGGAACAATTTTTCATTAGGAAGTAGTGGTAGTAATTTATTGAAATCAACTAGCATGAAACAAAATTATTAGGAACCATCAACCATGTTTCCTCTTAACCTTTCAAATAACAATCATATCGTCCTTGGATTCTCCTGGTCATAAAGCGAACTTGATAAATGTTGGTATGTCATTAAAAATCTCAAAATTTCCAACTTCCACTGTCCTCAAACTACCGTTAATCCTCTATTTTGTTGTTTTACTTTTTAGCTATGACTGGTTCTTTGCTTGAATGACGGTTTTTTTTCATTAACACCTTTATACAAAATCATATTTGGTGGCTTCTAGTATATAATAGATGCAAAAGACATTGGTAGAAATACATTTTTCCAAAATTAAAATCATACAAGTCCGATGTGTGTTTTGTATGTCCCAAAGCTTATTGACTTGCCTAGAAAACTACAGTAGAGGCCCTTCAACAACTCTTCAGGGAACGTTCTTATCTAGGATGCCCAACCTGCAATGCGGTGTTCCATTTCTAAACTCCCATCAGTAAACACAAGTATGTCTGTAGCTTACATCGGGCAACTATTTGATGGTGAGAAATCATAAGTAAAATTTAGTTGTGCATTAAGCTTAAAATTTACGGACTACTTCTGTATCAAAACTTTCCTAGAAGCACTTGCTAATTAACTATCCCATCTTTTCTTTATTTTGTATGAGTTCAGGAAGCGTGAGGACATATACAGAGTTGTCAAAGCTTTAACAGTAACAGGGGATGGATTGAGTACTGATGCTAAAAACTTTACCCACTTCCTGGTATGGGGCATGAGCTGATTTCTTGCCTTATTTGATTTTCAAAGTGCACTGGTTTTTGATCACTCATGAGTTAAGCACTCTTGCCGCATTCACTCAACCTTTTGGTGGCTTACATTTCTGGATCGTTACTGTGCTTTCATTCTAGTTGAGGTATCCAAGGCTAATAATTTTTAAAATTGCTGTATAGGTTTCCCAAAGGTACATAAACTGTTCACTTTGTCGAGGCTGAGAAATGTCAAATGTGTCTGAGTAGTCAGAGCTACCTTTCCTGGGTAGTGAAACCTTCACTCGTGTGCAATTAATAGAGAACTAGTTACTCATGCCACATCTGGACTATACATGGAGATTACACAAGTTTTGCTGGATAAACGTTTTACTTCTCTTTATCTGCAAGGACAGAAATTGTAACTCTTTTTGTTGGTACTAGTTTTTGATTGAAGGTTAATTGGAAAAGCACATAACTTTTTGTTTCTTCATATTATTGATCATGTGACAAGAGTGGGTTGCTCTAGTGGTGAGTACCCTCCACTTCCAACCAAGAGGTTGTGAGTTCGAGTCACCCCAAGAGCAAGGTGGGGAGTTCTTGGAGGGGAGGGAGCCGAGGGTCTATCGGAAACAGCCTCTCTACCTCAGGGTAGGGGTAAAGTCTGCGTACACACTACCCTCTCCAGACCCCATTAGTGGAGTTATACCGGGTTGTTGTTGTTGTTATATTATTGATCATCTGTGCTTATATGCAGTTGAATTTCTTCATTCTTATAAGATGTATGATATTTCAAGTGTTAAAAGGTCTCATTTCCCAGGATCTCTCTTTCTTATGCCTCTGTGTAAACTTCCAAAAGAGCCCTTCTCTCTACGCAATCATTCAAATTTTGGATTTTCTTAATTGAGGTTGCGATTTTTATTTGAAGATATCCGCTATTTCTTTTCAGTTTTTAATTGGTTAAGATTCAGTGACAGGTTCGAGAATTTGAAAGGAATGGCGTGAATCTGACCTTATCTAAGAAAGAGGAGTTGCAGCGTTTAACTGCAAATATTGATGAGCTAAGCATGCAATACATTCGTAATTTGGATGATGATTGTAGTTTTCTACTTTTCACTGACATGGAGCTAGAAGGGTTGCCCCCTGAGTTTCTCAAGGTAAGATGTAAGACATTAGTCTTCACATCCATCTCCCATCTGTTACTCAATTTACTAATCTTCACGCACAGTGGAAATCTATTCCCTCCTTTTTCTGTCTTTTCAATATCAATATTTTCTGTTACTTTAGGATGAAGTTGCAGGGAAATCGACTCATATTGGGATGTGGAAGTTTTGTGCTCAGACAAAAATTGATTATGAAGCTCCTGTCTATTATCTTCTCAAAAAAAAGAAAAAAAGAAGAAGATAATCAATGGCATCATGTAGTAGTATATATGTATAGGTTGACCATGGCAGGCTTGAGGAAGGGCAGGGGTAGGCCAAAGAAGTATTGGGGAGAGGTGATTAGGCACGACATGTCATTGCTTCACCTTACCGAGGACATGACTCACGATAGGAAAGTGTGGAGGTCGAGGATTAAGGTGGTAGGTTGACAGGTAGTTGTGAGTTTCTTCTAGGTTTACCAATAGTACTAGTACTATTCTTGTATTCTCTTATTCCTGGTTCTTTATTACTTGTTATTGTTAGTTTACAGCTATGTAAATAGTGTAGTCTTGTCCCACATTGGAATAGGAGTAGTATGTCCTTGTATAGTATAGCTATAAATAAGGATCTCTTGTATTGTATTGAATATCTAATATCAATAATCGGTGTCATTAATATTTTGGCACAAACATGCCATTGCGTCCAATACTTGCTCCAAATATGCCCTTATTTTAAACGGTCCCATATGGAGAGTATATTTGGTCCCAGACGCATACTTTGAGGGCATATTTGGCCCATTAAAGTTCTTAAGCTTTTATGTTAGTGAGTTATCTTGTTTTGTTCATAACAATGTAATGGAAGTTTGTAATGATAAAATCTCCCTCAAATCGATTGGTTCCCTTCTATAAATCTGAAATACGAACAAGGAGAAAGTAAAACGTAGAAAACCCTAAACCATTTTGTTGGAAGAGAAACCTATACAGAGGCCGACCAATTTGTAAGGTTTCTCTTCCAATAAATGGTTTAGGTTTTTTGTACACTTTACTTCTCTTTGTTTCAAAATCATGCTTCTCTTTGTTCCTAAGCAAAGTGTATCGTGTTTTGTTTGTATGGAGAGAGTAAGTAATTTATTTTTTTCTATTGAGTTGAGATTCGACACATATGATTATTGCAGTTAATTCATTTATTGCCTATGGTGGCTAGACTTGTCTATTGTATTAGTTTTTATTGTTGTGATGCCGAGAGTGGCTATTTAGTGGTGTTTTGAGGCATATGAGGCCGTGGAGAAATTTATTGATATAGGTCTTCCAACAAATGGTGTACGTTTTTCTATACTTTGCTTCTCTTTATTCATATTTAAGATTTACTTAAGAAAATCAATCCATTTGAAGGGGATTTATCATTACAAACTTTCATTACATTGGCATGAACCAAACAAGATAACTCAATACTATAAAAGCTTAAAAAATTGAATGAGCCAAATTTACCCGCAAAGTATGCGCGTGGGGACCAAATATGCCCTCCATATGGGGCCGTTTAAAATAAGGGTATATTTAGAGCAAGTATTGGTCGGCAGGGCACATTTGTGCCAAAGTATTTAACGACGGACAAAGCCGCTCAATTTCGCATAGTTCAAGGGCATATTTGGACCTTTTCCAATTAGGAAAATATGCACATCACTGCTGAAATGATCCTCTGAAATAAGAGTGTCGTAGGACGGTCACCGGAAAGAAGAAAGAATACTATAACAATGAAAAAGAAACTTTGGCCAGATGAAATGAGTTTCTTCTGCCAGTAGGAGGAAACTACTTAGATCTATACCAAGATCGTGAGACTTTGATACCATTTGAGAAACAAGAGAAGATGTGAAATATATTGATTACTTGATGGTTTTAGGAGTACCAGACACACCTACTTATATGTGTCATCCACGATGCACGTTGTTATATTTCCTATGTGGGATAGTGTCTTGCTTAAGAACTTGTCACTTCTAATAGCAATTTCTGACAAGTTCTAACACCGACACATAACATTCTAATAATCTTTTAGCGAAATTCTTCAGGAAATGCATTTCAAAGTGTCTTAGAGTTAAGTGCTTATGTTGGCTGTTGAAGTTTCAATAATATTCCCTTCAAAGAGCATTTTACTTGACTAGTCTCTAGAGTACAGGCGTTGCGCGTGTACCTCATCTCAATGAGTAATTCTTTTAAAAAAAATCATATAAAAAATATATTAAAAAATGTGTTTAACTTACAAAAAATGTAAGTTCCTGAAATTGATGAATGTCTATCTTATATAGCTAACTCAATAAATGGAAGAAAATATATCCCATAGAAGTCCTCAATCATCATGCAATATATTCAATTTCACAAGCTATCATGCTTCCTCTTTAGTTTCAGCAAAAACAAATGGCTCGAAAATTTTAGAGTTTCTTAGAAAATATTTTCAGAAAATTATTCTCAAGTTCATTCGAGACGACACAAACAGGGTTAGCTATACTTTTTATTATAATTTTTTAAAGATTTGTCAAAAAACACAAATTGAAAGAATCTTTTGATCTTTTAGAGATTTGGAAATGAAGAGGTTGGCCCTATGACTACAACAACAACAACATACCCAGTGTAATCTCACAAGTGGGGTCTGGGGAGTCTAGTGTGTATTACCTTAACCTTACCTTGAGCAGATAGAAAGGCTCTTTCTGATTGACCCTCGGCTCAAGGAAAGCAAAATCACATCAGTTTAAAAAGAAATACAATAGCAAAGAAGACATGAAAAAAGAAGCAGTAACAACAACAAGATAATAAGAACTATTTCTGGATTTTGTCTGCTCCTTAGTTGTTCTGTAAGTTTTTCTGCATATGAGCAGACAATACCTTTATGTTGTAATTTTTGCTATGCATCTTCTTGATGCCATTTAATGAAATTCCCTTCATAAAAAAAAAAACAAGATAATAAAAAGACCAAAGCAGAAGATGCATCAGGTAGTAATAGAAATCTAAAAATAAGGAAATACGAGAATAAAACTAGTGCTACCGATAAGGAAAGGAAATACGCTCGACTACCTACTAACCTTTTACTCTAATTCTCGACCTCTACACTCTCCTATTAGGGGTTATATCCTCGATAAGCTGAAGATGTGCCATCTCCTGCCTAATTACCTCTCTCTAATACTTCTTTGGCTTATTTCTACCTCTCTTTAGACCCACCATAATCAACCTCTCACATCTCTTCAATGGGGCATCCGTGCATCTCTTCTTCACGTGCCCGAACCATCTCAGCCTCGCTTCCCGTATTTTGTCCACCACGGAGGCTACTTCCACCTTATCCCGAATATCTTCATTCCTAATCTTATCTTTCCTAGTATGCCTACACATCCATCTTAGCATTCTCAGTTCCGCTAATTTTATCTTCTGGACATGAGAGTTTTTGACTGGCCAACACTACGCTCCATACAACATAATCGGTTTAACCACCACTCTGTAGAACTTACCTTTAAGTCTTGCTGGCACATTCTTATCGCACAAGACACCGAATGCGAGCCTCCATTTTATCTACGCCGCTTCAATAAGACGTGTGAACATCAAGTATGTTAAAGAAGGTTTATGGGCTCCTAAGGCAGTTAATATGCCATATGGATAAGCTGTTTGGAGGCAAATTTCCAATTTCTGAATGGAATTTAATAAGCATATTAGATTGGAAGTCGGTGATGGTAAGAGGATGAGGCTATGGAAAAATAATTGGGATGAATCTGGGATTTTTTAGGATCAGTTTCCAAGTTTATTTTGTGTTGCTGGTAATCCGAATGCTAGCGGATGTGTTCCCTGAGGAAGGCTGGGATTTTCAGTTTAGAAGGAATCCCTTTGGAAGAGAAATGCAGGAAATTGATTTATTCATTCAGAAGATGCCAAAGTTTTGGTCACACATGGAAAGAAAATAAACTACTCTGGAAGGCAAGTAGTAATGACATTTTCTCAGTAAGTTCATGTTATAAAATTCTTAACGCACAACAGCAGGGACAATCTAGGAAATGGCCTTGGAAGATGATTTGGAAGACTGCAGTGCGCATGCTTGGGCTGGCTCGTGACACATGAGGCTTGTCTAACACAAGAAACTTTGAAGAGGAAGGGCTGGATATTATGTACGAGATGCTATCTCTGTGAAGACTGTGGTGAATCTATGGAGCACTTATTTTACAATGCAAGTTTACCTGGTAGATTTGGTCTATGTTTCTGGCTGTCTTTGGAATAGAATGGGTTATCCCTGGGAAATTCAGAGAAGTACTTGAATGATGGGAAGCAACTTACCCAGGTGGCTTATTGAAGAAAATCTGGATGTATAGACTATTTGGGAAGAAAGAAACAAAAGAAGTTTTTGAAGACACGAAGAAACAAATTCAGATTGTAAAATTCAATTGCCTGTATTATTTGTATTCCTGGAAGGATGGGAAAACTATTTTTAATTTGCATGATGTGCTAGACTTGCTAGAACATTTAGGAATTTGATGTATTCAAGTCTAGCTTACTTTTTTTGTAATTCCCAGTATCAACTTGATACTGTTTTTTAATTAAATCTTACCTTATCACAACAATAACAACAACAATTCAGTGGAATCCCACAAGTGGGGTCTGGGGAGGGTAATGTGTACGCAGACCTTACCCCTACCCTGGAGGTAGAGAGGCTGTTTCCGAAAGACCCTCGGCTCAAGAGGCTTCCATGAAAAGGGCTGTTTTTTTTTTTTTTTTTGTGAATAGAGGAAAATCAACAGCAGAACAGAGAGGGGCAATCACCTTTGAAAGAAAATCCCAAACTCTCAGTTTTGCTTCATTTCTTTTTGGGCTGATAACTTGTAGCAGAAAGTAGCACATGTCACATATCAAAAAAAAAAAAAAACGACGTGCGACATCATTATCAATCTCCCCATTACCTTGGATTACAGACCCTAGATACTTGAAACTTCCTCTCGTGGGGATGACTTGGGTATAAGTCTCACTTCCATGTCCACCTCATGGGTTACTCACTGAACTTACACTCCAATTATTCTGTTTTACTTCTGCTCAACCTGAAACATTTAGACGCCAGGATTTGTCTCCAAACCTTCAGCCTAGCATTAACTTCGCCTCTCGTCTCGTCAATCAACAATATTCATCAGCAAATAACATGCACCATGGCACCTCCCCTTCAATGTGACGCGTTGGTTCATCCATCGCCAAGGCAAATTGGCCCTATGAGTCATGGAAAAATGATAAAGGACAATATAAAGTGTCAAAATAACTAATGTTGAGTTAATATTTTACAATAAATAAAGAAAAAATAATTAATGAAATATTTTATTTTTATTTCTTCAAGTTAGCGCTGTTACCAAATCTGAGTCTTACTACCGTACTAGAATTGGATTTGGAAAATAACTTTATTTATATGATGAATTTTGAAAATAATAGAATTGGATTCTGTTTCTAATATAGTATTTTAAAGATTTCATTATTTGTTCTTAATATTAAAGAAACTAATTTATTTTTTGTGATTCAAATTGTTAATATTTAACTGTAATAATTATTTTATCAACTAAGTGTTCTCTTTTTAAAGGCTAAAAAAATGATGATTGTGTCTTACGGTTCTTGTGTTGTAGATAGGAAAACAGACATGTAAAAGTGGATGCTTTATTTCATATTTACCTGTGTTAAATAGTCAATATTGTTAATTATTCCTTTGGATTATGTTCATTAATCTTATTATTATGACAAATATGAATGTGTCTTTATTTTAGGATTCTTATATTACATATATTGCTATAAACTTTATATATGCTTCTTTACTTAATCATATAAGTATCATTTAATGACTATTCCATCGTTCAATTTGGTTTATATATGTAAGATAAGTTGCATAATTTTAGTGTTCTTTTTTATGTGTTTATTCGAATTGAAGTGGTAAAATTTGAATCGATTTTAAAGTTTTGAATATTATGACTTCTTACATAGTTCAAATAAAGAAGAGTTTAATAAACAAAACTTAATTGATTTTAAAATTCTAAAAATTAGAAAAATAATTAAATCACTATTTTGTCTAGTGTGAAATCTATTTTTAAAGGGTAAAATAGGCGAACGACATTTCGCTAATGGCCTTCGTGCTTTTAATATAGTATAGATTAAAAAACCTTCAAACAACATTTTCTGACACTCTCCTCGTTGTTGAATTCATGCAGAGCTTAGAAAAATCTAAAGATGGTAAAAGAAAAATCATTTTGAAGAGCCATCAGATTTTACCAGTGCTAGAGCTTTGCAAGGTGAGTTAAGCAGAGATTATGACATATGCATGCATCTTTTGCTGAAAAGCAGTTTTCTGTTACAGAACTATTTATGTCATTGCTCCTAAATCCTTCTGGGTGTTTGCCTTTTTAGACTTTACTATATTTGTTGATTGTTTGGGACCAAGGAGGAACTCATGCGATGCTAATTGATGCATTGTTTCCATTAGTTTCCATATATTAAACTGCAACTTCTCTTTTTGTGCATCACCAGTTGAATTGTTTGCTTGTTATCTGAACATAGCTGGTTCGTCTAGTTGAACCTAAGGAGCTTCAGTATTTGTTTAACATTAAATGCTGGTGACATTTTTTTATGAGAACTTCTTTCTAATAGATGATAGTTAATGTAAAACGAATATATGATTTTATTTCAGAATTTTGGGAAGTGTTCTTAAAAGCAGCCCATTCCTATCAACTAACTCACATTGCTAAGTACCAATATTATATGGCTACTTTGGTGGAACACTACACATGCGTGGATATTGTGGACTATATGGCTTGAGAGAAATAAAAGATGCTTTGAAGATACTACTAATTTGATTTTCAAGATTAAGGCTAATTTTGTTTTGTTTTCGGTGTAGAATGAAACATGTAAATGTATATATTACATGCATACTATGTACACTGGCATCCCTGCTGCACTACCTCGTCAGGAGCATCCATAATAATATCTGCTGCTTAGTCAAAGTAGGTCTTAATCAGATATGTGCCAATCTGCCACCCTTTTAACGAATTGGCAATGGGGTGAAAGCCGGTCAAATGCTTCATCTCATCTCGCCACCTAGGTACCCCACAACCCCTCCCAACAGTGTGGACTGTGGACTTCTACAGGAAGCCTTTAAATTAGCTCAATGTCTTGTAGTGTGGTGGCTGCCTAGAATGTATGTCTCTGGGTGCCGACGCTTTAAAAGCACCATGATCAACCGTCAATCAAATTGTATACGGCCAACAGCGTACATCACACAGAACCTAGATTTGTATAAGTACTGTATGACTCGACTGTATAGAGGAGGGGCACAAACATGACACTATAACTTCCCATCCATACGTCGTGGATGAACTGGATTTGTTTCTCTATGCCTATCCCAAACATCACACTGGCTATGTCTAGACTAGAGGGTCAACACGGGATAGTCTATAGGACAAGGGTGAATACGCGAAGGATCCATGAGTCAGTTCACTTCTATCTGGATAAGCAAAGTAAAAAATGAATTTAAATACTACCTTACAAACAAGTACAACTAAACAGTTGCAAAACCAGAACGCGACATGAATCATATATGATGTGAGCGAGTCCATGGGCGGAGCTAGGGGGCGGAAGAGGATTTCATCCAAACCCCCTTCGCCGGAAAATTACACTGTATATAAGGTCAAATTTATTTATGTTGTATATATATTATATATTGAGTCCCCTTGATATAAACCAAATGTTCAACTTAGTGGTTAAGGGGGTTCAGATTCTCCATGAGGGTGGCAGGTTCGGCAGGTTCGATTTCCACACACTTCAGAATTATTTTCTACAGCTTTGAAACCCATCTTATTTCCCTCCAAACAGACCCACATTCTTACTAATTCCCAGGTGATCCACTTAAGTGCAGATGCTGATCTAACCATTTCTGGAGAGATCTTCTAGAAAAAATCTGAAGGGGAGCCGTGGCGTAACTGGTAAAGTTGCTGCCATGTGACCAGGAGGTCACGGCTTCGAACCGTGGAAACAGCCTCTTGCCGAGATGCAGGGTAAGGCTGCGTACGATAGACCCTTGTGGTCCGGCCCTTCCCCGCACCCCGCGTATAGCTGGAGCTTAGTGCACCGAGTTACCCTTTTTATCCTCTAGAAAAATCACTTTAGTTTTCCAAAAGCAGATTCCACTAAATTTCCACTTCAGGAAACCTAAAGCAGATCCTGCTACTACAAATACAATCCCTTGACATTCTGATGAGAAGCATGAAGTAAACCTGCTCGAACAACTTCAAACCAGTTCTTGTCACACCATATGATGATGATCTTGGAACATCATCATCAGGGACAAGTAACAAATATAAAAGTAAGACACATGACTTTGATAACATGTCTCTGCAAGTGTTGGAGGGTTATGCTATAAATCAAGCCAAGGAGACCATGAGTTCCTTGAATAACCGTTTGAAAATAGCTGAGGATATTAGAGAGGAAGGCGCTAAGACCCTCGATACCTTGCATAAGCAAAGCGAGCAAATTCATCATACTCACATGATGGCTATTGAACAATCTTGGTGATATGTTCTCTATGCATTGGAGCCAAAGAAGAGCCATGATATAAAAGGGCCTCCAACTTCAAAAGATGTACCTATAGAGGGAAAGAAAGTAGTGCAAATCAAAGGGGAAAAATAGGTTTATCTAATGGTAAGAAAGGAAAGTCAGCCTCCAACACTAGTATTTTAATTTTTTCTTTTTGAAAAAAACATTACTTCAAACAATGTAGAACTGCACTAGTTTTGATCTAACGTAACGATAGTTTAAATTATATTTAGATTTAATTTTTTTTGATGAACCCGTTTGGTAAATTTTTTTACTGTTTACCTCCTTAAAATGTTGAATCCCCTTGCTTAAAATTCTAGATCCATCACTTAATGTACAACTCATCCATGACGTATCATTTGTCACGCGCTTGCTGCATGTATTGTCAACCTTTTAAAGATAACTCTTACAAGCTGACATTTTTTCACATGCATGAACTTGTTTTGTCACATCATTTTTGATGGTTAACTAAAGTGACATTTGGTTGGAGTAGTGGAGAAAATAATCTCCACTTAAAATCCAACTTTGTTTATACCAGTGTTGTGAAGAGCGTGAAGCGAGGAAAAGCGACAAGCCCCTTTTCGCTTAAAGCGAGAAGCGAAGCGCTCACTTTTTTGAAGTGAAGCGGAATTTAAAAAAAAAATCTATATATAATAAAAGGAGAGGCAAAAGCACATTATTAAGACAAGTGGCATAACCACAAAAAGCCTAGTGGCATTATTAAGACAAAATAAACTACCTTTTTAACTAAAAAAAATCTTTTTAAATTTTGAATTAATTGGTTACTCTATTTGAATTAAAATAAATACTGCATAGACAACACATGTAACTGTAAGAAAAAATGGGCAGCATTTCAATCTTTTTATCACTGAAACAGTGCAACAAAATGAAGAAGAAGAAGAGTAGAAGAATGAGAAAGAAGAACTAAAGGGAAAAAATAATTTCGCCAGCATTTCGCTGCTATTTGGATGCTGAAACAGTGAAAGAAAAAGAAGAACAAGAAGAAGACGAAGGAGGAGGAGGAGGAGGAGGAGGAAGAAGAAATCACATACATGGGACCAAACTTGATGATCTTGAAGTTGAAAAGTGTAGAAAACTTAAACCCTAGGCTGCCTCTTTCTTTCTCTATTGCTGTTGCTCGATGGTTTTTTAAAAAAAGACAGCTTTTTAAATTAAATACGTTGGCAGCCCAGTTATAAAGAGAAGTGCTCGCTTCGTACGCTTCGCATCGCTTCATCGCTTCTCGCTTTTTCAGGAGAAGCGAGCACTTTTGTAAATCTGCTACGCTTCAGCTAACAGAAGCGCCGGATACCTCGCCTCGCTTCGCTTCTCGCTTTAAGCGAGGAAGCGCTCGCTTTTTACAACCCTGGTTTATACAATGTTTGGCTTGGTTTTTCTTTTCCATGTAAAACATAACATAGTTCATTATAGAGTTTGGTTTCAAATGTTCTTTTCCGCATATCCAATACCTGTATAAGTTATGCGAAAATTTATTTATTATTTATGCGGGATAATATAGAATATGAATGCGGGAATTAGTAATACATTGGATTAGAACAACTGAATGACAAAAATATGTCTTCATGTGGTAACCAATCTTTTATTGTATTAAAAAATACAAGCATATTTTAAAATGTAAATTGTATAATAATCTTTAATACAACAAACTAAATATTCAATAACAAATAACAATCCATGTATTATGATCCTTGCATTACCAATTCCCGCATTGCACTCTTTGCATTACAATCCTTACATTACTGATCCCTGCATAATTTGCTTCTAAACCAAACGATCCCTAAGGGAATAAACTTGATTAAAATGAGAGTCCGATGAAACTAAACTATTCCAATTTAAAGGCTAGCCTAAAGTTTTAGAAGCATGCCTCTTAGATCATTCGACTTCAAGGGTGTCTACTTAAAATGCCAAAAAGTGAAAAGGCAAATTTCTCGTGCTAAAAATCCCGTTGTTGTTCATAGAACCTTACCTCGAACAAAAATGTTGGGTAAATATACTGCTTTAAATGGTTAACAATGTATGGGTTTCTCAGAGAATTAAAGAGTAAACCCATATTCCTCTAGGAACTACTTGAGGAAATAGGCCATATTATAATCGAATACCATTACTCAAATGGGTCAAAACATGTGGAGAGCAACTGAAGTGGGTAGAGTTCACTAAGAAATATGACTTTACTATTATGCCATTGGCACAATATACGTATGGAAAAAAATATTTAAACAGTTTTACTTACTAAAAGACATAAGATCTTTCGAAGGGGCGAAGATGACTACTGGAATATGTTGGAAGGTGATCCACTACATCTTTGTCCAAATTGTCATGTGTACCCAATTATCGAGGAATGGCAAGGGCTCTAGAAGTTTCTTGCACAGTGCTGGTACAAGGGATATAAGTCGTTTGTTATGAAGATATGCCTCTAAGTAGTTTCATTATGGATAGTCAAAAACTAAATGATAATGGACTCTCGTTGGGGCTTAATGCCGATAAGCTTGAAAAGGATGTTGCACTTATTGAATTTGATGACGAAGCTGCGTAATTCAGCAATAGCAATGATTCTTAGGTTATAGCAATTTCATTATGACTTAATTTCTTAATATGGTTATTTTTTTTGGGTAAGTCCCGCGATAGTGATTATTTTCAGTGGAAGAAAAGAGTATAAAATTATCGAATTATTGTTAGATATTGA